ACTCATTCAAGGGTTTTTCTTTATTTTTACTATTTTCTACATTGTTGAATAATAGTGAAGACATCAAAACTATGAAATAACACATATGGAATCATGTAGTAACCAAAAAAGTCATAAACAAATCAAAATATATTTTATATCTGAGATTCTTCAAATAGCCACCCATTGCCTTGATGACAGCTTTGCACACTCTTGGCATTCTCTCAACCAGTTTCACCTGGAAAGCATTTCCAACAGTCTTGAAGGAGTTCCCACATATGCTGAGCACTTGTTGGCTGCTTTCCTTCACTCTGCCGTCCGACTCATTTTACATTTGACATTTTAGTCATTTAGCAGACACTCTTATCCAGAGCGACTTACATTTAGTGAGTGCATACATTATTTTTTCATACTGGCCCCCCGTGGGAATCGAACCCACAACCCTGGCGTTGCAAGCGCCATGATCTACCAACTGAGCTACACGGGACTCATCCCAAACCATCTCAATTGGGTTGAGGTCGGGGGATTGTGGAGGCCAGGTCATCTGATGCAGCACTCCATCACTATCAAACTTGGTAAAAATAGCCCTTACACAGCCTGGAGATGTGTTGGGTCATTGTCCTGTTGAAAAACAAATGATAGTCCCACTAAGCCCAAACCAGATGAGATGGCGTATCGTTGCAAAATGCTGTGGTAGCATTAAGTTTGCAGACGACACAACAGTGGTAGGCCTGATCACAGACAACGATGAGACAGCCTATAGGGAGGAGGTCAGAGACCTGGCCGTGTGGTGCCAGCATAGCAACCTCTCCCTCAACGTGATCAAGACAAAGGAGATGATTGTGGACTACAGGAAAAGGAGGACTGAGCACGCCCCCATTCTCATCGACGGGGCTGTAGTGGAGCAGGTTGAGAGCTTCAAGTTCCTTGGTGTCCACATCACCAACAAACTATCATGGTCTAAACACACCAAGACAGTCGTGAAGAGGGCACGACAAAGCCTATTCCCACTCAGGCGACTGAAAGGATTTGGCATGGGTCCTCAGATCCTCAAAAAGTTATACAGCTGCACCATCGAGAGCATCCTGACTGGTATGGCAACTGCTCGACCTCCGACCGCAAGGCACTACAGAGGGTAGTGCGTACGGCCCAGTACATCACTGGGGCCAAGCTTCCTGCCATCCAGGACCTCTATACCAGACGGTGTCAGAGGAAGGCCCTAAAACATTGTCAAAGACTCCAGCCACCCTAGTCATAGACTCTCTCTGCTACCGCACGGCAAGCAGTACCAGAGCGACAAGTCTAGGTCCAAAAGGCTTCTTAACAGCTTCTACCCCCAAGCCATAAGACTCCTGTACAGCTAATCATGGCTACCCGGACTATTTGCATTGTCCCCCCCACCCCACCTCCTCTTTTATGCTGCTGCTACTCTCTGTTTATTATCAATGCATAGTCACTTTAACTCTACCTACATGTACATATTACCTCAATTACCTCGACTAACATGTGCCCCTGCACACTGACTCTGTACCGGTACCCTCTGTACAGTGGGGGGGGGGGATGATTTAGTCAGTCACCAATTGTGCAAGTTCTCCCACTTAAAAAGATGAGAGAGGCCTGTAATTTTCATCATAGGTACACGTCAACTATGACAGACAAAATGAGAAAAAAAATTCCAGAAAATCACATTGTAGGATTTTTAATGAATTTATTTGCAAATTATGGTGGAAAATAAGTATTTGGTCACCTACAAACAAGCAAGATTTCTGGCTCTCACAGACCTGTAACTTCTTCTTTAAGAGGCTCCTCTGTCCTCCACTCGTTACCTGTATTAATGGCACCTGTTTGAACTTGTTATCAGTATAAAAGACACCTGTCCACAACCTCAAACAGTCACACTCCAAACTCCACTATGGCCAAGACCAAAGAGCTGTCAAAGGACACCAGAAACAAAATTGTAGACCTGCACCAGGCTGGGAAGACTGAATCTGCAATAGGTAAGCAGCTTGGTTTGAAGAAATCAACTGTGGGAGCAATTTTTAGGAAATGGAAGACATACAAGACCACTGATAATCTCCCTCGATCTGGGGCTCCACGCAAGATCTCACCCCGTGGGGTAAAAATGATCACAAGAACGGTGAGCAAAAATCCCAGAACCACACGGTGGGACCTAGTGAATGACCTGCAGAGAGCTGGGACCAAAGTAACAAAGCCTACCATCAGTAACACACTACGCCGCCAGGGACTCAAATCCTGCAGTGCCAGACGTGTCCCCCTGCTTAAGCCAGTACATGTTCAGGCCCGTCTGAAGTTTGCTAGACTGCATTTGGATGATCCAGAAGAGGATTGGGAGAATGTCATATGGTCAGATGAAACCAAAATATAACTTTTTGGTAAAAACTCAACTCGTCGTGTTTGGAGGACAAAGAATGCTGAGTTGCATCCAAAGAACACCATACCTACTGTGAAGCATGGGGGTGGAAACATCATGCTTTGGGGCTGTTTTTCTGCAAAGGGACCAGGACGACTGATCCGTGTAAAGGAAAGAATGAATGGGGCCATATATCGTGAGATTTTGAGTGAAAACCTCATTCCATCAGCAAGGGCATTGAAGATGAAACGTGGCTGGGTCTTTCAGCATGACAATGATCCCAAACACACCGCCCGGGCAACGAAGGAGTGGCTTCATAAGAAGCATTTCAAGGTCCTGGAGTGGCCTAGCCAGTCTCCAGATCTCAACCCCAAACAAAATCTTTGGAGGGAGTTGAAAGTCCGTGTTGCCCAGCGACAGCCCCAAAACATCACTGCTCTAGACGAGATCTGCATGGAGGAATGGGCCAAAATACCAGCAACAGTGTGTGAAAACCTTGTGAAGACTTACAGAAAACGTTTGACCTGTGTCATTGCCAACAAAGGGTATATAACAAAGTATTGAGAAACTTTTGTTATTGACCAAATACTTATTTTCCACCATCATTTGCAAATAAATTCATTAAAAATCCTACAATGTGATTTTCTGGATTTTTTTTTCTCATTTTGTCTGTCATAGTTGACGTGTACCTATGATGAAAATTACAGGCCTCTCTCATCTTTTTAAGTGGGAGAACTTGCACAATTGGTTGCTGACTAAATACTTTTTTTCCCAATAGCCTCGCTACTGTTATTTTACTGCTGCTCTTTAATTATTTGTTTTTTATTTTAATTTTTTATTTATCAATTTTTTACTTAACACTTATATTTCTTAAAACGGCATTTCATTGTAAGGTCTACACCTGTTGTATTTGGCGCACGTGACAAATAACATTTGATTTGATTTGATAGAGGGAACAATGAATGGTGCCAAATACAGGCAAGTCCTTGATGAGAACCTGCTTCAGAGTGCAAACGACCTTAGACTGGGGTGAAGATTTACATTCCAACAGGACAATGACCCCAAGCAAACAGCCAAAGCAATGCTGGAAATGGCTTCAGAACAACAATATTAAAGTCCTTGAGCGGCCCAGCCAAAGCACAGACTTGAATCGCATTGAAAATCTGTGGAATGACTAAGATTGCTGTTCATCGCCGCTCCCCATCTAACAGAGCTTGAGAAAATCTGCAAGGAAGAATGGGAGAAAATCCCCAAATCCAGAAGTGCAATGCTGATACAGACATACCCTAGACAACTCAAACCTGCAATCGCCGCCAAAGGTGCTTCTACAAAGTACTGACTCAGGTGTAAATACTTAAGTAAATTAGATATTTCTGTATTTCTGCATTTTTAAAACATTTGCAAAAATATCTAAAAACATGTTTTCACTTTTTCATTATGGGGTATTGTGTGTAGATGGGTGAGAAAAAAACAATTTAATCAATTTTGAATTCAGGCTGTAACAACAAAATATGGAACAAATCAAGGGGTATGAATACTCTGAATATAATATATTAATAATATGCCATTTAGCAGACGCTTTTATCCAAAGCGACTTACAGTCATGTGCGCATACATTTTTACATATGGGTGGTCCCGGGAATCAAACCCACTACCCTGGCGTTACAAGCGCCATGCTCTACCAATTGAGCCACAGAGGACCAAGGCACTGTATCTTTCTTGCGGCATCATGATAATTTTTCTACCATCTGTTAGGACAGTTATCATTCAGAATCAGAATAGTTATGAAAGTTTTGAATAACACATTAAAGTACAGTATTCCATTGTGTGGCAAAGTTTACAAATGGTGATGCTGACAAAGTAAACGACGCCAGGCAAGAATACGGTAAACTAACGTAGGCCTAAGAGAGACAAAATGATAAGACGCCCATCCGTGAAACAAACTGTAGAGCTATGTCATAAGAACATTTCACTGGAAAGCTATGTTGCATAGTTACAGTACATGTGAAAGAGGGATAATATTTGCATTGCTTCTAATTACTATACATCAGATTAATACTCTCAATCAACGGAGGGACTAACATGACAGAGGGGGAGGGAAACACACACACGTCTGACGCACGCACACACACTGTTTAGACAACTATGAGCCTAGCCAGGTGTTTTTTATGGAACAATTGTTAACATACCATATGAGAGGTTTGCTTCTCACCAAAAGAGACAAAAGGTTGAAGTATTGGTTTTCATTTGCTGAATGTTGGAACTAAAACCCACAGAGATCCACCCAGGGCAATTAAAGTGCAACTCTAACGCCCTGATATTCCAAGTAGGTTATTTAGATAGCCAGATAGGCAAGATTTGCACTTTTGGGACCATTTCATTAGTCCCATTGCGCCAGGCAAGCTCTGTCAAGTGCAGCTCAAAGTATTTGAAATTAAACAAATACTACTCAGAAACACTTACATTGTACTAGTCTTCCTGTGAAGAGAATGATTGTACTGTCCTGTTAAAAGACCTAAGAGATCAGTCTCAGATCCCCACCCGAGAAGACCTTGGGCTTGTCGAAACTCGCCCTTATCTGTTTCCAGCATCAACAGAACCACCATCATCACCCTCTCCTCATGATGCTGGTGAGGGCTACTCTACTCACTTGCTCCTAAAGTAAGATACAAAAAAAGAACTAAACAAAATGGCCACCTGCAGGACACACACACACACACACACACACACAAACACTGCTGAACACCCCAGCTGTGAAAACCTCCGACCACATGAGACGGAGTAAAATATTCCTTGGAGTCCCGTTACTCCCCTTATTGAATTTTTACAACCTGGTGAGCTGCCAGGCCTTGGCTTGTACCATCCCGTTCCGTGCCACTGCCAGCCTTCAGTCCAGGAAAGCAGAGCACAGAAATAATTTGTCTTAACCCGCAGACCCTCTTTTATGACCTCAGTCTACCCTCACTACTTACAGATGATGGTCTCTCTCAGTCGTCTCAACTGGAGATGTCACGACCTGTGGATGAACACATCTGTCACGCAACCCGTGTGTGCGTGTATGTGCATGTCTCTAGTATCAACATATATAACCTGGATTCTTTGAATCTCTCTGTATTAGAGATGGGGGGGGGGGGGTCTGATCTACGTACCCACAACCCAAACATAACCTAGGATGTTACTTTCCTAAACACTGCTGGGAAACTTACAGAGACAACAGCAAACATTCATCCTGACCCCCACTACTGTCTTTCGCAACCAACGGTATCTTGGCACACAAATGCACACATGCAAGTGGAAAGGTGCCAGCTAACAACATCACTACTGGACACAGTTTTACGGTAAGCCAAGAAGGTCTTGTGGAGTCAAGAAGCTAGGGCAGGGAGGGGTCATAGTCGGGGCAAAACCTCTTCTCAAATCCCCATTCCTGTAACATTTTCACATTTACATTTTAGTCATTTAGCAGATGCTCTTATCCAGAGCGACTTACAGTTGTGAATACATTATTATTATTTATTTTTTTATACTGGCCCCCCATGGGAATCGAACCCACAACCCTGGCGTTGCAAACGCCATGCTCTATCAACTGAGCTACATCCCTGCCGGCCATTCCCTCCCCTACCCTGGACGATGCTGGGCCAATTGTGCGCCGCCCATGAGTCTCCCGGTCGCGGCCGACTGCGACAGAGCCTGGATTCGAACCAGGATCTCTAGTGGCACAGTTAGCACTGCGATGCAGTGCCCTAGACCACTGCGCCACTCAGGAGCTCCAGTAACAGCCTCCAGATAGCTACATGTCTAAAACAATGTTCAGTCCTCTGGAAAAAGGCTTGCTGGCCAAAACTGTTGATAATAAAACGAAATAAAACCTAACACTTCATTTGCGAGTGCTGGTCGTCTTTTTCATACATGTCAGTCCTCTGTTGGCCATGCATGTTCCTCCAAAACTGCCCATTCAGTAGCTTGTGCCCTGTTGGTTGTGTTATGTTGAGGTGGCTATAGAAAGACAGGGACAGCAATGCCAGTGTGCATGCATGCATGCATGTAAGCGCATGTGTACATGTGTGAGCGAGCTCAGTCATTCCAGCAGCATGAAAAGGGAGTGACAGAATGACAGAGGACACTGTTCTGTATCACTCCTTACCGTGCCAGTGACCCTGATGTCGTAGAGACGTCCCCAGTCATCCTCGTGGCTGTCCACCATCATGACGCTGTCGTCCTCCTCCATGTCCCACTCTGCCTGGAGGTCAAGCCTCACTTCCTCTCCCAGGGAGTGCATCCCGATGGCTGGGAACAGGCCCTCCGCCGCTACCGGGACCACCACCGAGCCAACCTGGAACAAACACACGGAGGTCGGACGCATGTACGCACACACAGATGCGCGCACACACACAGACATGCAGGCGTAGACACACACACACACAGAAGGATGTCTTAGCTCTTCTTCTCAAGGATGTTAGGCTTAAAGGGGAACAGAAGCACTAGGTTCTAGAACGCCAGCTAACTGCAATTGGAAATTGCCTTTCTTCATATTATTATGTCACTGAGTATAAAAACATTTTAGAATATGATGGCCTGTAATGCTTGTTTCTCAAGTTGTTTGCAGGTCAATTCTATTTGTCTAATGGTTGGAAACTCTTGGATCTTATTTTTCATAGTAGGGCTACTGGTCTCTGCCTGTCCGGTGCGTCCTTCAAATGTGATCACACCATTGTGCTCTCTCTCCTTTCAAACTTTTCCCCACCAGTCAATTTGGCCTATACTGTATTTTAAATTAAGCAAGCAAGAGCAAGGTTGCTTCTGTCCTCGAATATGCTAACAGTAAAACAATCTTCAAAATACACTACATGACCAAAAGTATATTGACACCTTCTCGTCGAACATCTCATTCTAAAATCATGGGCATTAATATGGAGTTGATACCCCTTTGCTGCTATAACAGCCTCCACTCTTCTGGGAAGGCTTTCCACTAGATCTTGGAACATTGCTGCGGGGACTTGCTTCCATTCAGCCACAAGCGCACTAATGAGGTCGGGCACTGATGTTGGGCGATTAGGCCTGGCTTGCAGTCGGCGTTTCAATTCATCCCAAAGGTGTTCAATGGAGTTGAGGTCAGGGCTCTGTGCAGACCAGTCAAGTTCTTCCACACCGATCTCGACAAACCATTTCTGTATGGACCTCGCTTTGTGCACGGGGGCATTGTCATGGTGAAACAGGAAAGGGCCTTCCCCAAAGTATTGCCACACAGTTGGTAGCACAGAATGGTCTAGAATGTCATTGTATGCTGTAGCGTTAAGATTTCCCTTCACTGGAACTAAGGGGCCTAGCCTGAACCATGAAAAACAGCCCCAGACCATTATTCCTCCTCCACCAAAACTTTACAGTTGGCACTACGCATTCGGGCAGATAGTGTTCTCCTGGCATCCGCCAAACCCAGATTTGTCCGTCGGACTGCCAGATGTTGAAGCATGATTCATCACTCCAGAGAACGTGTTTCCACTGCACCAGAGTCCAATGTCGGCAAGCTTTACACTGCGCATGGTGATCTTAGGCTTATGTGAGGCAGCTTGGCCATGGAAACCCATTTCATGAAGATCCAGACGGACAGTTCTTGTGCTGACATTGCTTCCAGAGGCAGTTTGGAACTCGGTAGTGAGTGTTGCAACCGAGGACAGACGATTTTTACACGCTACGCGCTTCAGCACTCGGCGGTCCCGTTCTGTGTGCTTGTGTGGCCTACCACTTCGCGGCTGAGCAGTTCCTGATGTTTCGAACTCACAATAACAGCACCGGGGAAGCTCCAGCAAGGCATACATTTGACAAACTGACTTGTTGGAAAGGTGGCACGTTGAAAGTCACTAAGCTCTTCAGTAAGACCATTCTACGGCCAATATATGGAGATTGCATGGATGTGTGCTCGATTTTATACACCTGTCTGCAATGTGTGTGGCTGAAATAGCCGAACCCACTCATTTGAAGGGGTGTCCACATACTTTTGTATATATAGTGTATGTGACCAACAAGTTGTAGCCTAGTTTTTCCTGGGACTCAACAAGACCTTAGGAATAGCTGAAAGGCCTGCTGAGAGGCAAGCGGAGGTGTGTACTTGCGCAGGAGAACAGTGAAGATAGATAGGCTAAAGACCATGAACCTATTTAGAAGCTCATTCATAACCATAATATAAGGCCTAATACTGCAGTGAGTTAACCACCCGTGTTTTGCAAGACAGAACAAATCTAAAAAATAATGGAGTAAATGAGGGATACAAAGTATCTAAATTACTGCCTCTTCGATTCTAGTGTTTTAACAAGGCTTAGCAACATTTGACCTAGCTTGTAAAACGCTTCCATTCCCCTTTAAACAGCGGTCAAGAGCACTGAAGTTAAGCCCCAATTCTTTGGGGGTCTCTTATTGCGGAATGTGGCCAAAAGCAAGGAGCCACTCACTTCTTTGCCATTCTTGGTGAAAAAGACTGTGGTCAACCCAGCCTCAATGGTATCACAGTATATTCCACAGCCAATCCTGTCACTACGGTTGCATTTGGGCCCAAACTGCTGGCCCACAGGGTTTCCATTGTACAGCCTATAGATGGGGAAGAGGATAACAGTGACTCATTGAGCCTTATTCACACTGGACAATGCTGTAAGATATTATCATGACTGTGGTGGGAACTTATTTTTTTGTGTAGTTCCCTTGTAAAAGAGACATTGGTCTTAATGGGACTCCCTGCTAAAATAATGGTGAAATAAATACATTAAAATAAAGGTCCATAGCATCTCTGAAAGTCCCCGCAATTAGCCTACATTCACAACAAAACATCTTAGAGGTCAAACTGAGGAGCTGGTATGACTGAGGCCTACTTACCGCCATCTGCATGGTGTGAACATGTGTGTGTGTGTGTGTGTGTGTGTGTGTGCGTGCGCCTGCGTGTGTGTGACTTACTTGCCGTCATCAGCGTGGTAGGCTATAGACTGTGGCAGCCAGCCTGGCTGATGGTCCAGCTTGTAGAACTGTGGCACCAGGCCTACCGCTATCGTCCCTCTCACCCCTGTGTCCATTATGGTCACCTAGGTCAAGAAATAAAGGCGGCGCACCCTTAGGTAAGGTGCTGACTAATGGAGGATTAACGGAACAATTCAAAAAGATAGTAACACTCATCTCTTCTTGCTGTGGATTTAGGCTATTTGAACATAACACACAGTCCACTGTAACAGCCAGAAACAATACCTACATGATTCATAACAATTCACCTATGTAAGAAGACACAAGCATGATAAATAATAAGTAGCCTATTCAAGAAAGTTAAGTTGTGGAAATAATGGGAAAGATTATTAATGCATATGTGGCCAATGTTCCCTCAAATATATTTTCGTCACTGAGCAAATTTCAGGTCTGCTGAGCGCAAACTTGAACATTGTGAAAATTCTGTGCAACTTCTGCCGCCCGTTTACTGTGAACACTGAGGCTGTACCCGCTTTATGTTACAGTTATAACAGTGGCCAAGTAGGCTACTGTGGCTATTTGATCATAATGTAGGCCTATGAGAGTGGCCTACCAAAAAAAACTATGAATAAAATACATCCCATAACATTTAACATGGAAATAGCTGTTCTATCATTCAGCCTACAGTAGCAGCCAATGTGTTGTGTTCAATGTAGGTCTACATTCCATGAGACTTTTGAAAAAAACATGTAGGGATTGACATTTACCTGTTTATCCACTTGTCCTTCAGTGTTCATACAACACTGCCTCAAACAAAAAGCTCTTAACCTGACTTGCTTTTCAACGATGGCTAGAAATGCACACGTTTTGTGCTTTTGTAGGAAGCAACCACTCCCCCATTGCTGACTAGAAATGTGCTATAACTGGGCTAATAACTCAACTTACTAGCAAAGAATATGAACAAATGTACACACGTGGCTACATGCAGCTCTTGCTTTGATCTCAAAACAAGCGCATCTACTCGTGACCACCCATGCTGTAAACACAGTCCAGGTCAAATTGAATGGCACAGATCCATATACGGCAATGGTTAATTTGCATATGGGGATATTGCAACTCTGATTGGTTATGGCGCACCGGTCTATGTAGAGTATGGGCCAGAGTCGTGCCTATCAATGCAATAGAATCCTACTCCAATGCACTCTGCCTACAAGAAAATATGTTGTTTCCGTATGTTGCATTGAAAGTGGCTAATATTGCGTTGATTCGATCACAATTCACACAGTAGAGGGAAACATTGATAGTGTTAACTAAAAGGAAAAAAATTGAAAGTTGAGTGAAGTTCAATGTCGTGCTCTCTGTGCGGGCTGATATTTCTTCTGCGCGGCAGTCCCGGGGAGCTGTGGTCCACGCACGTAGCTTAGAGGGAACATTGTATTTGACACATACCCAGGTGTGTGCCACAATGCTGATGTTTCACAATTAGATCAGGGAGGAGTGAGACGTATAGGCCTAACAGAAAATTGAACAGTCAACAGTTAAAGTGAGAACTTCACTGAGTCACAACTTTAAATGGAAAACTGCTATTAAATCATTGACTTTTCAACCCCAGCCTCTCTCGCTCTCTCACATACACACACGCACACACGGCCTGACTGGCCGACTCCCTACCTGTCTACAGCCTCCCCACTGCTCTGGGCAACCACCCCACTCTGCCTTCTCAGCAGGCCAGGCAGGGAGAGAGAGAGAGAGAGATACAGTTACAGCCAACGGCCGGCAGTACAGAGCCAAGCAGAATTAGGTGAAAGGTGATCCAGCCCATACAAGAGGGGGTAGTCCTCCTGTGCCTCTGGCTGCGAACCTGTCCAACACTCTAGCTCTCTGACACAGAGTGGAAGTCTCTCTAGCGCAGTGGAAGTCTTGACCCATTGTTCACCAGTCTTGGGATACCAGAGTCAAATGGCGACCCATCTACCTCCCAAGAGAGTTTTCAGCTGTTATCGTGACTGCTGTATGTATTCCACCTCAGGACAAGAAAAACAACAAGCTGGCACTTAAACTGTAAGAGGTTATAAACAAGCAGGAAATCTTGTACCCAGAGGCTGCGTTTCTTGTTGCCGGTGATTTTAATTCTGCGTCATTAAAACACGTGATGCCTAACTTCCATCAACAAGTCTCCTTCGCCACTAGGGGCAATAAAGTCCTAGACCACTGTTACTCTATTCACAAGCAAACATACAAGGCATTCCCTCGTAGCAGAAGCTCCTAGCAGAAGCTCAGACAGGAAGTACCCGTGACGCACAGAGGATATGTTACAGGACTGCTTTGCTAGCACTGACTGGAATAAGTTCCGGGACTACGCCGATAGCGTCGATGAGCTAACCACCTCCGTTGCATGTGGCAGGGGATACAGTCCATTACAGATTATAAAGAAAGACCCAGCCATGATCTGCCCAACAATGCCTCTGTACCAGACAACCTCAATACATTTTATATAGCGTTTTCCTTGATGGCCAGAAAGCTCAATTTTAGTCTCATCTGACCAGAGTACCTTCTTCCATATGTTTGGGGAGTCTCCCACACACCAAACGTGTTTGCTTATTTTTTTCTTTAAGCAATGGATTTTTTCTGGCCACTCTTCCGTAAAGCCCAGCTCTGTGGAGTGTACGGCTTAAAGAGGTCCTATGGACAGATACTCCAATCTCCGCTGTGGAGCTTTGCAGCTCCTTCAAGGTTATCTTTGGTCTCTTTGTTGCCTCTCTGATTCATGCCTTCCTTGCCTGGTCCGTGAGTTTTGGTGGGTGGCCCTCTCTTGGCAGGTTTGTTGTGGTGCCATATTCTTTCAATTTTTTAATTATGGATTTAATGGTGCTCCGTGGGATGTTCAAAGTTTGATGTTTTTTTATAACCCAACCCTGATCTGTACTTCTCCACAACCTTTCAGAACAGGTGTATATATACTGAGATCATGTGACAGATCATGTGACACTTAGAATTGCACACAGGTGGACTTTATTTAACTGATTATGTGACTTCTGAAAGTAATTGGTTGCACCAGATCTTATTTAGGGGCTTCATAGCAAAGGGTGTGAATACATATGCACGCACCCCTTTTCCGTTATTTATTTTTTAGAATTCTTTTAAACAAGTTATTTTTTTTCATTTCACTTCACCAATTTGGACTATTTTGTGTATGTCCATTACATGAAATACAAATAAAAATCCATTTAAATTACAATAATAATAATAATATTAATTAATTAATAATAATAATAATAGTAATGCAACAAAATAGGAAAAACTCCAAGGGGGATGAATACTTTTGCAAGGCACTGTACCCCAAGAGACTTGCAGCTGTAATTGCTGCAAAAGGTGGCTCTACAAAGTATTGACTTTGTGGGGGTGAATAGTTACGCACACTCAAGTTCTGTTTTTTTGTCTTATTTCTTGTTTGTTTCACACACAAAAATATTTTGCATCTTCAAAGTGGTAGGCATGTTGTGTAAATCAAATTATACAAACCCCCAAAAAATCAATTTTAATTCCAGGTTGTAAGGCAACAAAATAGGACAAATGCCAAGAGGGGTGAATACTTTCGCAAACCACAGTACATGAAATCAATAATTTGCTAGTAACAGATAACATTAATATTCTGACAATCTCTGAAACTCACTTAGATAATACCTTTGATGATAAAGTGGTAGCAATACAAGGTTATAACATTTACAGAAAAGACAGAAATGCCAATGGGGGCGGTGTTGTGGTCTATATTCAGAACCACATTCCTGTAAAGCTTAGAGAGGATCTCATGTTAAATACTGTTGAAGTAATATGGCTACAGGTTCAGCTGCCTCTCCTAAAGCCCATTCTGGTGGGAAGCTGCTATAGACCACCAAGTGCTAACAGTCAGTATCTGGATAACATGTATGAAATGCTTGATAATATATGTGATATCAATAGAGAGGTATACTTTCTGGGTGATTTAAATATTGACTGGCTTTCATCAAGCTGCCCACTCAAGCGAAAGCTTCAAACTGTAACTAGTGCCTGCAACCTGGTTCAGGTTATCAATCAACCTAACAGGGTAGTTACAAACAGTACAGGAATGAAATCATCAACATGTAATGATCATATCTTTACTAATGCTGCAGAAATGTGTTTGAAATCAGTATCCAAATCCATCAGATGTAGTGATCACAATATAGTAGCCATATCTAGGAAAACCAAAGTTCCAAAGGCTGGGCCTAATATTGTGTATAAGAGGTCATACAAGAAGTTCTGTAGTGATTCCTATGTTGTTGATGTGAATAATATTTGTTGGTCTGTGGTGTGTAATGATGAGCAACCAGACGCTGCACTTTAAACATTTATGAAATTGCTTATCCCAGTTACTAATAAGCAAGCACCCATTAAGAAAATGACTGTAAAAACTATTAAATCCCCGTGGATTGATGAGGAATTGAAAAATTGTATGGTTGAGAGGGATGAAGCAAAAGAGATGGCAAATAGGTCTGGCTGTACAACCGATTGGCAAACGTACTGCAAATTGAGAAATCATGTGACTAAACTGAATAAAAATAAGAAAAAACTACACTATGAAACAAAAATAAATGACAAAGAATGATAGTAAAAAGCTTTGGAGCACCTTAAATAAAATGTTGGGCAAAAAGGCAAACTCCGCTCCATCATTCATTGAATCAGATGGCTAATTCATCACTAAACCCACTGATATTGCCAACTACTTTAATGATTTTTTCATTGGCAAGATTAGCAAATTTAGGCATGACATGCAAGCAACAAACGCTGACAGTACACATCCAAGTACACTGCTCAAAAAAATAAAGGGAACACTAAAATAACACATCCTAGATCTGAATGAATGAAATAATCTTATTAAATACTTTTTTCTTTACATAGTTGAATGTGCTGACAACAAAATCACACAAAAATTATCAATGGAAATCAAATGTATCAACCCATGGAGGTCTGGATTTGGAGTCACCCTCAAAATTAAAGTGGAAAACCACACTACAGGCTGATCCAACTTTGATGTAATGTCCTTAAAACAAGTCAAAATGAGGCTCAGTAGTGTGTGTGGCCTCCACGTGCCTGTATG